ACCTACTATACTCTAATAGTTACCAGTATCGGTACTGGTATGGATGTCATTAATGTCATGCACCCCCAGTCCACCAATATGACAATGACAAGTATCAACAGCACCACGTTCATGATTATGATGAACTCAACCTCACAAATGAATGACTACATTGTACCTCCTACTGCTACTGGTGTCATGGAGACCATGATGAGAAGCGATGACCCACAAATGACTGACGATCTCCTCCAAGAGCTTGACAGCATTAATGTGAATATAACACGTCAGCTTACTCTTCAACTCCTTGCTTTAAGTGAAGAAGCGACCCTTATCATTGAAGCAGCAAAGGCTCTTGTTGAAATGAACAATGTTAATTCAAGCTACCCTCCTGTAAGGCAGTTTTACCTCCTGGGACTGCAGCTGGAGAAAATGAGAGGTCATTCATTAGGTGGAGCTAGTACAGTAAGAAAAAGGAGCACAACAACCAAGCAGTATGGCAGATGTGCTGCTGGGGGCGGATACTGTACTGCTAGTAGATGTCCTTACTCTCGTGATGGCAATGATTGTTTTGGTATGTGTGGACGTGGTTGCTCTTGCTGGTTCTTTGTCTGTGGTGATTGCTGTTATCACCATTACTGTGAGACTCATGATATCTGTTGTGCTAGAAAAGGTTTTTATACATGGGCTTGCTTTCGAGTTTTACGTGATTATTTTCGGAGTAGTTGTAGCAGTGCCTATGAATGCTGATAAAGCCAGACTTTAGGATAACTGTTACTGAATATTTTAATAGTAGCTTGCTAGTCTAGATAAATTTATACATTTGCATAGAAGTGTGGAGTAGTATGGTAGAATTTAGGTGTGTACATATTGTCATTCTTTTGTTGTAACTTTTTTAGTAGATGTTAACATTTTCCCTGGGTTTTAATTTCATTTTGTCATTTTCATATTTGTTTTAAAAGTTATAATAAACAAAAAAGTGATGTAATGTGAAATTTACAGGAGAGAAAAGAAGTGATGTGAATGATGTGCAATTGGTTCATACAAGTTTGTTATGTTACAGAGTGTCCAGTACATGGTAGATTGCTCTAGCTCGTAGGTCTGCTAGTTTTATGATGAGGATTTTTGTTTCTGCTGATTTAGCCACTGATGCACAAGTTCTTCCCAGCATGTCAGTGTCATTAGGATCAGCTCCTAGTCTCATCAATGAATCAACTACTGCTTTGTTATCTGTTCTTGCTGCAAAGTGTAACGGTGTCGCTTGATTGAAGTCTTTACTGTTCACGTTGCAGCCTCCTTTGACTAGCTCAACCAGACACTCATCGACTCTTTCCTCTTCAGACATCCCAGGGTGGGAATTGATGACGACCCAATGTATCGGTGCAAATCCACCCTTTGTATCATAAGCATCCACATCAGCTCCATGCTGTATCAGTAGACGGATGAGATTGGGTCTAGCATGCATAGCAGCATAATGTAGAGCAGTGAGATGATTGCTGTCTGTTGTATTAACATCAACCAGTCTGTTCTCTAGTAGTCTAGCCACCATCTCTTCATCTCCTTTAACGACTGCTCCAAACAGTTCTTCTCGTCTGGACTCGGTCTCCATGCTTGGGGGCTCTGGCTGACGGGGTGACCTAGCGAGGCTGCCTTTGCGGGTCATTGCCTTCAAGGACTTTCTGCTTTCCTTCCATCTTCTCAAAGACATGTTGACGCTTTCTTGGAGGTTATGGCACAGGTTAGCTTCAAGTAGATAGAGCTTATTTCTCTTTATTTGAACAAGTCTTGTTCAATGTTCAGGTTATAGCTTCGATTGTTCTGAATGTCACTGCTTCGGTGGCTCTTTTTATAGGCTTTCATTGTCTGTGTGGGATTGGCCTCAACCACTGCAGCTAATTAAACTCATTCATTTATAAAAATTATGTTTTGTCATTGCATGTTCTTTACATTTTGAAGTGTAAATCAACTTTTAGTCTCGCCTTCATTAGTGTACAAATTCATGTATCATGCATGCATTTATGTTGCTTAACAAACCAAGTCTTCCGCTCTTTGTATCCTAACAATATCAACAATAGTATTTGTACATTATTGATCTTGTTCATTCTCATGTAGCTTGAGTAGTGAGCCAAACCACTGCTATATCCAATAAAATGCTTATATTTTAGCAATATTATCAATTCACTGAAGTTTAAAAAGCATAATATTCCTTCTCTCGCCAGCACGAGCTCTCTTCCTGTATACTAAGCGACATGACTTAATCCATTTATTGACACGATAGCATTTCACTCTAATTAATTACCCACATAGTAAATGCAAGCCTTTAAGATGAAACAAATGACGTCAAGAATAGAGTATAGTATGAACTCTACATAGTGCAGTGATTTTTCCAAGAATTGTAATAGTCTTAGAATTCTTTTGAGAGGCACATTGCCCTTCTGGTTTAACTATAGATAAAACAAGAGTAAATGAATCTACGGTTTAAAATTTACTAGATCTAATTCGCCTTGATACCAAGAATACATACTATGTATACTCTTGTTGATACTAATGTAATCAAATATTACTACATTGCAAAACTGCTACCAATATAGGAAGAGTCCATTAGCTAATTACTGTCAATATGTAACATGAATACCTGACGTATATATCTCAAATTGACATTTCTTCATGATACAACTACCAATCCGCTAAAGTCATTGTTCTCTTTAGACTACAATATTTACATTCTTAAGCAAGACAATGAATGAAAGGCTGGAGACAATCAATGGTTGTTGAACATTCCATGTGATCAGATGTCTCCCTGTGACCAGCTAACAGGCTGATAGACTGTATCTGACTGCTCCCTGTATAATCTCTCACAGTGCTAGACTACACTATGACCCGTTCCCATAGCATTGTGTATGATTAGAGCAGACACTGCATCCAGGATTTGTCTGTTAAGAGAAATAAATTTTACTAATATGTGTCTCTATTACCATGATAGTACTTAGTAGATCTAACTGTATCGTGGTAATAGAAATGACTATGTTATTTTGTGGTTGGTGTCCATTGTGTTGTGTACAAATTGATGTATGAGATAACCTAGAATGTACACAATGTATTTACTGGAAAAGGGAGTGAAGAAAAGATAGAAGGAAAGAGCCTGTTTACGATGTACCATACCACATTCAAAGCAATCATTATTATACTCCTACTTGAGTTGCTATTCCTTCCATATGTATCGTTAGTTGGGCAATAACAATAATTATTGGTTATTGTACACAACAAGTCAAAGCACAATAAACTTAGTTGGCACAAACATAGAATTGAATCACTAAATGTATGTTTGTTATTGATGTTTGGCTGAAATTAAAAAATTTTAGATGTCTGGCAACCAGCTGTATGTATGTATGGAATTGCTACTAATATTGTGATATTATGTAATTGTACACGGCTACTTTGTTGTGTCCATTACGAAGCAATTTGTTAAACACAGGGTGTGCCAATAACTGACCAGCTCCACTACTGGTATGTGTAATTGATAGCCCTTTTCCTCTTTGTGCCAATAAAGATACAAACAACTGCACGAGCCACGTAATTGGTCCTTAACTTGTTTAATAAGAAAGGAATGCAATATCGTAAACATGAAGAAAATGAATTTTTGAGCGGACTAATCATTCAATTCCTATACTTTGTCATGGCTCATGTGCTCTCTGTTTAGCTGATGAGGAAGTGAGGATTATAACATGTAACAATTAGCATTACTGTTGATGAAGTGTTTGTGTGGATTGTGTATAGAAGAGGCTATAAGGTGTCCGTCAGGCTGTCTCTAAAATTATATTTCCAGCTAAAGCATGAGGTAGCTATAGATCAGTTTCTTAAATAATAACAATGACTCGTGTAAAGGTGAACGTGAGGTTAAGCAATTAGAGAGGGGTAAAGATAGAAGGACATAGCTAAAGGGTAGAGAGAGAGGGGGAAGGAGGGAGGGAGGGAGAGAGAGAGGGAGGGAGGGAGGAAGGGAGAGAGAGAGAGAGAGGGAGGGAGGGAGGAAGGGAGAGAGAGAGAGAGAGAGGAAGGGAGGGAGGGAGAGAGAGAGTGGGAAGGAGGGAGGAAGGGAGGGAGGGAGAGAGGATCAATGTACAAGGAGAAGAGGAACACTTTGTAGCAATACAAGTACAGGAAAGAGAGAGAGACATAGTGATATGAAGAGAAAAGGAAAGACATATGAAAATGGGTGAGAGAGAGACATAATGTCCCTAATCAGAAACACACTCTACTCTTAACTCTTTATCTCATGCTCATGACCACACCAGTCACAGATACCCTATACTGTGTACACACACAGTAATTAAGATACTATAGCTACAGCACAAACTAAAGCACGAACAATTAATATATGGTACAATGTTTATACCACAAACCGTATTTTACTACATATAGTCAGTTGCTTAGGAGATGATAAAGCATAGGTGCTTATTCACTGGAACTGAGGTCAGGATGGCCCGGAGCAATTGATTGGAAAACACTTGTGTCAATTTTGATTTACGCATTTTTGAAATGTGTTAAAATAAACAATCAGACAATGATAAGCATTCTTTAGTTTGAAGGCGTTAGGAGCAATTCTGTTGGAGTGTGTGTTTGTATACGATTAAGTTTCTAACAATCTATTACCATTACACACACACACACACACACACACACACACTCACACACACACACATGTATTGGTTTTACATTACACATATCAATCAAGTGATATGACATTGAAACTATCCTACAAGTACAATATAGTGTATACCATCAATATGATACAGTATATAGTGTCATGCTCATTAGTAAAGACATGCACAGATTTACTCTTACATGTGGTAATGAGTGTGCAGCGTGCATGCATACAGTCAGCAAAAAGTATATTGTATGCACCCCCAATGTTTATTACATTTTTTGATACATATTAATGTCCTTATGCTATGTAGAAAGTTTGAGCTGATTCCGACTTAAATTTTTCAAGTTATGGCCAATTTAAGAAATTTGCCAAAATCAGAAAAATACCCAAGGCTATAGCCTTGGGTATTTTCCAAAAAATGGTTAAAAAATCACCCCCGATTTTTATTACATTTTCTGATACATATTGATGTTCTCATGCTGTGTAGAAAGTTTGAGCTGATTCTAAATGAAAGTTTTTGAGAAATTAGCAGTAAAAGTGTATCATTTTAACATCAATAGTACAAGTGATAGTATTCAAGAATGACACTCCTACCAATAGTATATATGATGTAGTACTTTGTACTTTGATTACACACTCACTGGTAAAGACATACATAGTCTTTAGTATCATGAGGTAATCTTATTTAACTGTGTGTGTGTGTGCATACAACCAACAAAAATCATGTTATATGTCAATATTTTAATTCCTTGAAGGGCAGTGTGTATATATTATCTTACTCACTCATTATGGCTTTCAAGTATGTACATGCTCCACTATTAAAGGCAAGTGTCTATCAATTATGATTTTTAATAATTTAAACTATGACCTAAGACTTACAGCTGGCACGTGTAAAACTGTTCCATGACATGCATGAACACTAAGTCCATTAACTAATGTTACATAATCCTGTGTATGTATCCAATAAAAATGTACACTTTGTATGCAAACGTTTGATTTGAAACACTCCCTTATTTATACCACCTGATATTTTATAAAAATAATATATTTTTTATAGTAATAACAAGAGCTAGGTTGAAAGTATTGAACACATATTGCTTACAGTCAAGTATTACATTATCAGAATGTAATGTAAATGAGCTTCAATTGCTACACAATAAGAGAATCTTTTGTCAAACAATTATCATATCTCCTAGTCTAATCATTTGAATAATGAGTCCCTAATGCAATACACCCTACATTGCATGACTCTTAGATTGGCTGCAGCGGCCAACTGTTGCTATGACGAAGAAGGGCTTGGTGGGTTTAAGTGAGTATGGAATGCAAGCTCCTTGTCATGAAGTATACCGATTCGTTAAAAGAGAGTGGGTGCAATGGACGAGATGCTAGTCACAATCAGGTAGCTACAAGGTCAGTGAGGTCACAATAGGATATGCATCATTGAGGCTAAAGAATAGACCAATATGCAATTTGCTATTCATATTGACTTGAGTAGACGATTGAAATATTAAAGCAAGTTGATTGATGTACATATTAAAGCAAGTTGATTGGGGATGTACATAGTGTATTGGTATAAATACTAAGATCACAACTGATGTAGTGTTTTATGTGTGTAGATTATAATGAAGAGCATTGATCAAACTGGTACAAATTGTACTATTCTTTGATTGTGGGTTATAGAATAACTCTCCCTTTGGTCTAGTTGGTTTCATGTACAATAACTGTGGGAGTGAGGGGGAGAAGGATGTGAGAAGGAAAAGGATACAGGAAGAGTCAGGGATTAGAAAAGGAGGGATTGGTGGGTTTTTAGTTGGTTTTACTTTCATGCAGAGGTCCTCCTACCAATTACTAGTATTCACTAGTAAAGATAACACTTGAAAGATAAGGGTCTTTACCTAAGCATGGCTTCAATGCTATTCTAAACTGACCACAGACTTTGATATGTCTAGGAAGCTTATTATTGAATTGTCTTTAGCTGTCTCTGAGGTAGGTACTTTCCTTCTTTGTGGTAGCATCTATTACATCAGCCCATTAATAGTGACATGATTGTATTTTTAACATTATGATTAGTAAAAGGATGATTTCATGACAAAATACACGTACATTAAAATTTACTATTAATGACCACCCTATTGTATTAGTATTATAGAGAAAAGTGCATAGTATAAAAAATAAAAAATGAACCCGACTAGTTTTGAGAAATACTGATACTTTTCTCATATTTTACCTCTGCATCGTTATTCACACTAGTATCCCCAACATCCTCGTTAATATTATCTGGGTCAGCATGAAAAGAGAATGGGCTTCCTTGAGGATGAACTCCATCAATAGAAACATCAACTTCAATCTTGCTCTCATTTGCATTGAACAACACAAACCATGTCATATTACCAACCAGTTTAATGCTTGGGGAATAATTTGAGCTGGTTAAAACACCCTTAATGCTAACGACAGGTAGAAGAGGATTACCGGAAGGCCTGACTGGCAAGAGGTTATTAAGGCTTACGTGGAACCAGTTATCTTTCGACGCTCGAAAAGGATTAACTGGAAACGTAACTTTTATATGATGTGGCTGTATCTTCTCTATCATTTCCAGGGACTGAGACTCACTCGATGGCCAATAAAGCCACATTTTACTCACCCCTTGTTGTTGCTGCGAGGGAAAACTGCCTTCACTATTGTTCGAATCATTCGTATCATTACTGGCAGTAGCTGCACTGCTGCTGCTGTACTCCATAAGTACTTGAAACGTTCGTTCAGGTGAAGATACTATTCTATCACCACTTATAAAGTGATTCGCAGTCTGCCCAGCTGCTCCCAATTCTTCTCTCCCTTTCTTGCAATCGTCGCGCCTTGAGCTTATCCTGTTGCTCCAGTTCTTTCCCATTTTCTCTATGCTGCTCTTAAGATTGATAACATAAAGCTTCAAAGCTTCATCGAGCGATTTCAGCTCACTCTCTTCCTTCTCCAGCTCCACTTCCCTTGCTTTCCCATGCTTGATAAGATTCTTTAAGAAGTGAACACTGTGTAAACCGCCTTTTCTTATCATTGAGGAGTCTTCAGGGTCATCTGGATATCCATGCTCTTTTAGACAGCCATCACAAATAAGCTTCTGGCAGTCACAGCAGTATTGGAGGCACTCAGGACAGACCATATCATTGCAATCCATGCAGTAATACTGCCTATACTGCTTCTTGTGGTGCTTACAATATAAAGGAATGTCCTGTTCCTTCTGCAACTCTTTTATCAATCGCACATCGTGATTTTTTGTGATTCTCATTTTACTGTGACCTTTCATGCATTTCTCACACAAGTATCCACATTCATTGGCGCACCATGCAACTGGGGCTTTCTCACAGTCATCACTACTGCACTCTTTACTAGAGGCTAATTCTGTACTGGGATCTTTAATATTGAGCATTTGAGCTACTTCTATTATTGACGTGAGGTGATGTGCTGCTGGAAGACCTCGTACTCCTTCCTGTGGTAGCTTTTCTCCTTTTCGGCAAACTGGACACAAAATAGAACCTAAAAATGAAAGTAAGACATTAAAGTTACAATAAAACACAGTTGATAACTTGATATGTACATACATGTATACCTACAAGCACTATAAGTTAATGCAAGTGTGCTGCTATACCTTCTTCAGTTTTATTCACTCGTTGTAGACAGTCAAGACAAAATGAATGATGACAAGAGAGAACTTTAGGATCCTTGAATAGCTCCTTACACAAAGGACAAGTGACAGATTCCTCAAATTTATGTAAACGAGATTTGCTTTGCTTTTCTATAAGTAGAATTTAAAATACATATATTAATGACGTAACTTTAGGCCAGTATTATAAAATTCCAATACACTGGGTTTCTCACAGGTAACAAATTTTTTAGCTTTTGGAGCAAATTTTAAAATTCATTAAAAATCCAATTTTGATTGGAATCAGCTCAAACTTTCTACACAATGTATATGCATCAGGAAACATATAAGACTGAAGAGTTTTCTTTGTTTTTTTAGTGAAATTTGGCCAAAGATCCTCTACTACAGTACAGGGACTTTGACCTAATTATTGAGTAACTTTAAAAATTTTGTAAAAATTAAATTATGGTCGGAATGAGCTCAAACTTGCTACACAACTATACACATCACAAAAAATTATAAAAAATGAAGAATGCTCTCCCAGCCATTTTTAATACCTATACAAATACCGTATACGTTCAAATTTTTGAGGGTTCAAAATTTCGTGTTTTCAATGAAATTTGCTCAATAGTTAATATTCGTGTGAGCTAATTTTCGTGTTCTGGCCATAGTCTACATACAATAGAATGGCATTAGAGGTGGTTTAAATTTTGTGGATTTAAGGTGAGCACGAAAATAACAAAATTTAATACACCTCGAAAATTAAGATGCGTACGGTAAGCTTACCATCTAATTTGCTTTTAGCTCCAGTGTGTAGAGCAACTGTAATGCCACATTCCTTTAATAACAGCCTCTTCTCTGGTGAAGTGACATCCTCTGAAACAACCTCTAAACCTTCTTCACCAAACAGCCCATAATTGACAATGATACAGTTCTTCCTTATATCACTAAACATCATGCTGCCGGACCCAAACCAAGTATAAATGCTACTCATCACCTCAAGGAAACTACTGTAGGAACGAGAGTACCACGACTCTTCTAGCACATTCTCAATCATTGGTAGTCCAATGGGAGCAAGTGGTTTGGAAATAGACGGATTATTGAGGATCGAGTCTAAAAGATCTTTCATTTTTATTGCTTTCGAGAATGATCGATAAGAGGCTTCGTATTGGGACATTTCTTGCTTGAGGGACTCAGAACCAAATCGCTTGGTGAAAATAGAAAGAAGATTAAAGTTGAGGAAACCACAAAACTTGTGCTCTAATAGAAAACTAAAAAACTGAGGAGTGCTTGTAACACCTTTCAGAAGTGGACAAAAACGATCTTTGACCTCTTTTGATGTACGAGAGAGCTTTGATTCCAGCGGAACTTTTAGGTCTTCAAGTTTGATATGCTGTAAAGATGAAGAGGCAAGAGTATAGAGACTATCAAATTTGCTGCTCAGGTCATTCACAGCTAAGACAGCATCAGGATTAGACTGGACTTTATCTTCCAGCAGTGATACAACTAGAGGTAGAAAGAGAGCCCCATAAAATGTACATATTAGCTACATGCAAATAATAAAATTCAATTACTCATAGTATGCTTAATCATGTATGACTTTAAAATATGTATATACTATATAGGGGAAATATTTCGTGGCTATAAATTAGTCATAATTACCTATTCTAATATATATTCATAATATAAAATTTCTCAGTTAAATATAACCTTTTGTAACCATTTCTCTCTTCATATGCGACACCTTTTTGTGGCCCAATTTACAAAATTTAATACCCACAAGATATTAATACTCCAATAAAGTATATATACATGTATTAACCTTCATTAGGCTGAATTTGAGGTTCGGTTGAACATGATGCTGTGGATATTGCCACGCTAACAGGTAGTCTAACTGGATTACTGCCTTCTTCTTCGTTCATCTTTTTAAATGCAACACACAGTGATGGGTGATCTTCACTTAAAACTTCCACGACATCAACTAAATACTTAGGATCTCTTTCAATAGCAGCATGTAAGCCATCCAAGAGCAGGTTCACTGCAGTCACTCCACTGTTACTACATATCTCTCTCCTCAGTGGCTCTCCTATTAGCTTCTTTGAATAAAAACGGTTAGTGGCAATCAGGCAGGACTCGCGTCCAACAGACAATACGTTTGTAATGTCTCCATAAACGATTCTAAATTTCTCTGCAGCAGTCGCCATGTTTAGTGTTTGTCAACGCCCACTCGTTAAATAACTTAAGCCACACCCAATAAATTAATTAATGGGCGTGGTTTGTTAGGAGTCACGTGCGCCATAGATAATAGAGTAAATGAAAATGTTAAAACAATTTAATAATAATATTAATTCACACCCATGCTAATTATTGTGATAATTATTCATAATATTTATCATGAATATAATGAAAATAATGAATAATATAATAATTACCCCATAAATAATTATATTTCAAACAGTGTAAATGATGAATTAATGATGTTATTTCTTAGCAATCGAAAAGACTTTTAAAAAGAAGGGTAAATCTAAAGGTGATTCAGCTCCTACTACTAATGCTTTGTGTACTTCATATGACTTTGACTGCATGACTTTGATATAATTATCTAGGAAGCTTATTATTGAATTATCTTTAGCTGTCTAAAGGTAGGTACTTTCCTTCTTTGTGGTAGCATCCATTACATCAACCTAGAGAGTTGCATTTATAACATTATCATCAAGTAATATTTTATTACAAAATACATTTAATTTGTGTACTATCTATGACCACACTGAAGAAAAGTAAATAATACAAACATTGAGAAGAGTAATTTTATATGCATAAATACCGTAGATCCACTTTCAATGAAGATTAAGTTATTTGACATTAATAATACCGTAGTTAGATGACCCTATGCTCGTACAGACAAATCGGTTCTTAGTGAGGATAAAATATAAGTTTCTGCCAGCATCATTATTCACACTAGTGTCCACAATACATCATTAGTGATCATTTATAGAATAAGAATAATAATGCAAATAAAAGAAATAAGAATAGATCATCTAAGTATAGGTATACTATCATGCCATTGAAGTATCTGCTAATGTAGCAAATATATTAAAAATTATTTTAGTCTTCTTTGCTTTTATCCTCAGGTTTTATAGCAGCACCAACAATACCACCACCAGCAGCAACACCCAAAACAGCACCAACAGTACCACCAACAACACCACCAATAAGAGCACCAATAATACTACCAACAGTACCACCAGCACCAGCACCAACACCAATTAGAGACACTAAGGATACGACAGTATTTTAATAAATGTGTGCAATGTCTATCTACATGTACAACTCCTTTCACGTGCATGACAATATGACTACTGTATAAGTGGCTTTTTTCTCTCCTGATTCACATAAATAAAATCCACAAAAATAATACGGTTCTCACATGAGCACATGGTGGAATTCACAATATTAAACTTAAGAGGATATAATTCCCTCTAAAACCCACTTATATGGTATTTGTGATTTTCATATTCACCATGTATCCTTTATAACTTTTGCATCCAGCATACCATACACTTGGGATGTATCATATAGTGTGTTTACAAATTTCAATTGTTTAAATTTTGTTGGAATTAATTTTTTGTGCTTTACAAAATTTTTGTTAATATTTACTTGATGTTAATAAAATTTGGTGGAACTAATTTTGGTGGATTTGAGCCTGCACAAAATTAAATCCACACAAAATAAACCAGTTGTATAATATATACTATACACAGATGCTTCTTACCACGATTCTGTGGACTTGAAGTCCTCCTATTAATAGGCATTACTGATCCTGCACCAGTATCTTTTAACATTTTGCCTTGCTTTGAAATTTCTTCTAACGACTCTGAAATAATGGTTCATATGATACATACTATACACAAATGCTTCTTACCACGATTCTGTTCACTTGTAGCCCTCCTATTAATAGGTACTACCGATCCTGCACCAGTATCTTTTAACATTTTGCCTTGCTTTGAAATCTCTTTTAATGACTCTATTTATTTAAATAATGGTTCAAAATTATTTGTAATATACCAACACAAACTACAAGCAAAAGTGATATCCAATTTTAATAAACATTTTAAAGAAATGTATACAAATTGTGAGCATTCTTTCTTGCTAGGACATATTTAATATCAGCTTACCATCAATTTCATCTTCAGCCCCAGTATGTAGCGTCATTGTGATGCCACATTCCTTCAATAGCTGCTTCTTCTCTGGTGAACTGATATCCTTTGAAATAAACTCTAAATCTTCCTCACTGAACAGCACATATTTGACAATGATACAATGCTCTTCAATCTCACTGAACATCATGCTACCAAGTCCACACCATGAGTGTACACTGGTTATCACCTCAAAAAAACAACTGTAAGTACGAGAATACCATGACTCTTCTAGCCTACACTCAATTGTTGGCAGTCCAGTTAGAGCAAATGGTTTGAAAAGAGATGGATCATCAACGATCGAGTGTAAAAGATCTTCCATTTTAATTGCTTTTGAAAACGATTGATATGAGGCTTCGTATCGGGCCATTTCCTGCTTGAGACTCTCAGAACCAAATCGCTTGGTGAAAATAGAAAGGAGATCAAAGTTGAGAAAACCACAAAACTTGTGCTTTAATAAAAAACTAAAAAACTGAGGAGTGCTTCTAACATCTTTCAGGAGTGGACAAAAATTATCTTTGAATTGTTTTGGTGAATGAGTGAGCTTTAATTCCAGAAGAGCATTTAGTTCTTCAAGTTTTACATGCTGTAAAGATGAAGATGCATGTGAATAGAGACGATCAAACTTGTTTTTCAGATTGTTTGCAGGCAAGAATGTATTTGGATTAGACTGAACCTTTTCTTCGAGCAGCGATATAACTATAAAAAGAGAGTCAGTAAGCCAAATAAAAATGTAGATGCATGTATTTAAGGGCTGAATTCAATTTCATTAATATAATTTTGGTTCAAAACGCTGAAATAAACACCTATCACTATACTATAGATGCTTATTCATTCATGTGTGTTAGTTTTGTACAAGAGTTGGCTACATGTTGTATTAGAGAAATATAAATGGACATGCCTTAGCAACTATCGTAGAGCTCCAAATTTTTGTAGGTCAAAAATTCTGTCAAATTTGTCAAAAATTTTTGCTTGACCAAATTTTTAACCAATGAAATTTTTGCTCCACGTGGTTAGTATGTGGATTTATAATAAATATGACAAAATTTTATCAACAAAATTAATTTTAACAAGAAATTAAGATTTTGAGAAATTTTTTGACTGACGAATATTTGGATCTATACGGCAACCAACCCATGCTCATAGATATTAGAGTAAGTATCTATGCAATGTTCCTTATGTAAAGTGGGTTTGGCTACGGCAATGATAACAATGAGACAAGACTAGCATAGCTGATAGTTTTAGTCAGTGTAAATAATGATGATGACATGGTAGAGACTTCCATAGTTCCCATTTTAAAATAATAACTACTACTAACCAATCTGTTATTAGACTATTCACTTTAATTTACCACTGTTATTAAATTGAGTTAAAAATGGCTAAGAAACTGTGCTGCTGCATGCTGAGTCTGTTTGAATGGCTTAATTAATCTTGTTAAAATTAATTTTTGTTGATAAAATTTTGTCATATTTATTATAAATCCACATGAATTATCCCTAAAATATTTTCGTGGCGTGCTTCTCACGCCAAATATTTTTTCACAGTGCCCAACCAACTCTCAGAGCTTAGATACGCCCGTCAGACAGTGAAAGAAATTGTCTGACTGTTGCCAGCAATTCGATACAATATTCACCTACATAACAACTGACAAAATTTTGCAACCCTCTACTATCTATGATATGAACTACCATTATCACTAACCTTTATTAGGATCATCAATAGATTTTTGGGGCTGATTTGTAACTACTGATGCTGCCGACTCAGCAGTTTCACTCATCTTTTTAAATGCAACACGAAGTGATGGGTGCTCTTCACTTAAAACTTCCACGACATCATCTAAATACTTAGGATCCCTCTCAATAGCAGCATGCAACCCATCCAAGAGCAGCTTCACTGCACTCTCTCCACTGCTATGATATACCTGCCTTTTCAGTGGCTCTTCAATTATATACTTTGCAAAAAATCGGTTAGCAGCAACCAGATAGGACCGACGATCAGCCTTCAATACATCTATAATGTCTCTATAAACGCTTTCGAACTTCTCTACAGCTGTAGGAGTCGCCTCGGGAGTCGCCATAGTCGCCATGTTTGTGACTTTTTGTGTTAGGAGGACTCAGGAGTCACGTGCGCTCGCATGGAGTTAGGAAGAGGTCCATTAAAAGATCATTTTGCCGGTTATCTTGAAGATGATAGTGACCTGGAGTATTCTGATTGCTCTGGAGGAAGGTAAAACCTCCTAACAATCCCTCCTCTAATGACAGCCATTCCCCTCTTCACTGTAGCTCGGGAGATGAAGAAAAAGAAGATCAATCGTTAGGAGAAAATGGAGACGATACTAATCAGTTATTATTGATTCCCTCTCGTTCTAAAAGTTGTAAAGAAAGCGTCACAGAAGAAGACGAGTTTGATCAAGAGATGGATAAAGAGGCTGACCTGCTCCTAGCTAATCTTTTAAATCAGTCAAAATCGCATCAAAATCAGTCGCCATCGTCATCTCATGTTAGGGGATTAGAGGAAGCTCCACCCATAACGACAGAGGGCGTGGCTGAGGGGAATAAAGAAAAGAATAAAAAGGTTGAGTATTATGATGAGATATACTTTGATTCAACCAGTGAAGATGAAGCACCTGTACAAGGTAATAATAATAATAATAATAATAATAATAATGATTAGATAATAATAATAACAATAATAATACGAACAATAATTGGGCGAAGCCCACTAGTTCGAGTAGAGTATGTTTGTTTGTTTGTACACGTACGTCACCCCTATTTATCCGTATGAAAAATTTTCCTATTTTAATAACCTAATCTTAATCTTCTTTGAAAACGGGTGTGGTCACAGTGAAATAAAATGGCGCCAGCTATCAATTCTTCATTGTTCTCAGTTCATGTTCTTGACCTTACAAGTTACAAGTCACTCACTTGAGTCAGCAAGAATGAAAGAGAAGTCTCTACTACTTTCCAAATACAGCAAGGAAGATTAAGAAGGCAGATATGCCACAGTTGTGAGCTTGTAAAGCCTCCACAACTACTGACATAACCTATGACTGCAGTTACTGTCTCTGGCTTCCAACACAACTTTTTTGCTGCAGAATGTGATAAACTGATAAAGAAAATTTGTATTTCCAAGCATGATGACTTCATTACAAACTACTGTATTTACTCATGTACATGTACAATAATGTAGCTCTATACCATATAACCTTTAAAATATAGCGTGGCTAGTGGGCTGAGCCCCTTAATGTTTTACATTCGTCTAGTAATAATAATTTTTAATTTTTATAATAATTTAAACATTATAGAAATAAATTTTATTTTACTTAGGAGATTTATAAGGGTTTTTTTGCAATTTTTTTATATGCTGGGATGTTAAGTTAATGGCAATTATTATTTTATTCATTTTTTATGCATTAGGATTCTATAAATTTATGTGTAGTAATGTATAAAAAATTTTGAATTTTATAGTTAATATTTTATTTGTTTTTTGCTGTATGAAGGTCTAGAGATGAAGAGCAAGTCAAAGACAAAGAGAAAAGTTCGCAAGCTAACAAACGACGAGTTATTTTATGACCCTAACCTTGATGATGAAGATGAGAAGTGGGTGGAGAAACAAAGAAGAACTTACAGAAATGGTAAAACAATTTATTAATAATAATGACAACAATAATACTCACCCATCTTATGAATAATTTACTATTGTGATAATTATTATGAAAATAATTAGCCTTTTTTTACCCCCCCAAAAATAATTATATTTCAAACAATGTAAATAATGAATTAATAATGATATTATTTCTTAGCAAAGGAAAAGTCTTTTAAGAAGAAGGGTAAATCTACAGATGACTCAGCTCCTAATGATGCTGCATGTACTTCAGATGCTGTCTTGAATTGTCCTGCTTGTATGAGCACTCTATCACTGGATTGTCAAAGGTAGCAAACTGTTTACTATTTTATTAATGTCTTGTAATGTACATGTTTGAGCCAATGTTTTTGAGTTGGAAAAATTGCCAAATTTTGAAAATTGCCCTGTACTATAGCCCATGGTTTTTTCTAAAAAAATGGCTCCGAAATTATTCCAAATTTTTATTACATTTTCTGATACATATTGATGTCCTTATGCTGTGTAGAAAGTTGAGCTGATTCCAACTTTAATTTTTCAAGTTACAGCCATTTTAAGAAAACACCAAAATTTTGAAAATTACCCAAGGCTATAGCCCATTGTTTTTTTCCAAAAAATGGCTCCGAAATCACCCCAAATTTTTATTACATTTTTTGATGCATATTGATGTCCTTATGCTGTGTAGAAAGTTTGAGCCAATTCCGAATTTCATTTTTTGAGTTACAGCCATTTTAAGAAAACGTCAAAATTTTGAAAATTATCCAAGGCTATAGCCCATGGTTTTTTTGAAAAAATGGCTCCGAAATAATCCCAAATTTTTATTACATTTTCTGATACATATTGATGTCCTTATGCTGTGTAGAAAATTTGAGGCAATTCGGACTTAAATTTTTCAAGTTATGAGCATTTTAAAGTATAGGCTATGTACACGCACTGTACATGTATCTCTTACAGCTAATAGTTACATT